AATTCCTCCTAAATTCTCTCTTGGTTCCATCGTATGTCATGGAGCTGGTGAAAGGTTTGAACCCTCGAACTGAATGGTAGATTATTCGAAATGTAAATGTTCAGAAAACAATTAATTCCGCATTTCTGAATTGCAAATTCCAGACCTGACACTGCTGCCAGTACTTACTTAATTGCTCCTCAATCCGGGAAACGCAAATAAATCTCAGTTTGGTATGTTTCTTTCAATCAATGCAGCAACATTTTTTGAAGTACAATTTAGCCATGGAGCTTAAACTTTTCACTAGCTCTGTGACAATGAGCAGCTTTTGCCATTGGGTCCTGCAACAGCTTATATTATTCAAGCTAATTTTCTGTTATGGAGATTTTCCCAAAAATGAAGGGAGTTTAAAGCATATTTTCAGGCCTATAAGAACTCAAGAGTCTTTACAGTAGGAAAATACACTGGTTCAGTGTCCCTTTTTGATAGTGCTTGTCGGGGCTTTGGCACGTTCCCCTAGCTTGAAAGGTGCTATATAAGCATAAATTGTATTGTATTGATAAGTCTCAACTCCACCTGCTCATCTTCTAACTGTATCCCTCAACACCTTTTACCAGACACACATCCAAGTTGCTTCTTGAACTGCTTTATTCTGTCTCCTTCCACGGTTTCCCTTGGTAACTTTTTCCACAAGCCTTTGCNAAAAAAAATCCCTGATGCCTGACTTCCTTCATAATCTTTATTCGTAAATTTCGAAAACATCATATTTAATTTAATTTATCATATAATACTTCACAATTTAAATCCAAAAATGTATTGGAAAATATTTCTAATTTTGTTATTTTTATTNAAAAAACACAAAGCAATACTCAGTCGATATTCATGAGAAGGCTTTTCCTGACACTGGTACCCTTACCCTTATGTATGGTGCTTACATGCCATACAAGCCCCTACCCCTCCTATTCCCTTCACTTAACCCTCCCTATTCTCACACAGTTTGCAGTTACTTACCGAACATTATCTTTCCTCACATTCAACTTTACACTTATTTTTTGAAACACACACAGTAAGCCTGAGCTTGAAGTATCTGACCAGAGGTTGTGTCTCTCTTAACTGCCCACTGACACTGTGTAAAGTGACTGCGATCCTGTTTCATAGCATATGCTTCTTGTCGGATCTTGTTGCTTAGTCCAGGCTCTGCGCCATTAACAGCAAACGATCAGGCCCCCCTGTGTAATTCACAATCATCAAATCATCCCATCGGGCTAGACCGTAACTCTGATGGAACTTGGTAGTAATTTCATTTGAAGCCATATCGATTTGGTACAATTTTAACCATTTTCTGCAGCGAATTAGCAATTTGCACGGAGATTTGTGAATTGAATCACTCAATGTTTGGAGCTACAAGTTGTACCATTGGTAGCCAGAAAAAAGTGGCAGTGGACTGTTTGAGCTGTTTCATGTGTCATAAGCAATAGAAAGTGAGGTGTTCAGCGCTGTCATATGGAGCTTGTTTTTCTTTAATTAATTTCACAGAATGTTTTTATTATTCTGTGCCCAGAGCGGATTTCAATCTGATCATTTTTTAATCTTTTACATTTTCCTCAATCAAACTGGAAGAAATATATCCTGTGCACATATTTCTGTCTGGATAGATGGCTTTTGTTTCTCGAGGGCTGAGGTTGAGAAATGGCATAGAGATGAAAGATTTAAGCCAAGGTGCACTGCACGCTGAGTGAAAGCTAACACCCCCATTCCATCTGATCCTGCCCCTTGTACATCCCAGTGTAAATGTACGGCCTCCATGCTGTAAACCAACACATTAAGGAATCCCATTAAGAGATAGGTTTAAGATAGTAGTAGTGAAATTGTAGCAAATGAGCAAATAGGGAGGTCAGGAGAAATGTTTACCGTACAGAGTTGATAGGACATGGAATGCCCTGCTGGGAGGGTAGGTGGAGGCAGAATCCATCTTCGCTTTCAAAAGTGAACGAAACATATATCCAAAGGGGAGTAAGCTGCAGAGGCATGGGGAATAGGCAGTTAAATGGAACTAAAATAATTGCTCTTTAAAGAGTCAGCATAGACAGGATGGCCGAATGGCCTTTTTCTGTGCTGTAAAATTCTATGGTACTGCAAACTAGATGCAAATGTTAACCTTGATGCAATCCATTCTGTACAGATGAATTTCAAGATGAATATTTGAATTCAAATCCCTACAACAATCACAAACAAGAACCTCACTGGTTCCTATGAATGTGAAAGAGATGGGAGGATATGTCCGTTTGACAAAATCTTAAGCACCATTTTCACTAGGTTTACAGCAATGCTGCAAAATCCCTTGCGTGCAAAATCCCTGCCCTCCACCCTCTCCGATCCCGACCCCCAGCTCAGGTCCGAAACACTGATTGTCCCGTGCCTTCGGACGTCCTCCCGATGTGAAAGGTGCTATACAAATGTAATGTTGTTGTGTTTGAGGGCATTCTGCCATTGTCTTGGAGGACAACTGACTGGGTTAGCAACAAGAAATGGTACCAGTGCCACAGTGAGTTCCCTCCATTATGAGAAGGGCTTTACTCCGAACAAATATTATTTTGTGACAAGAGATAACCATTACAATTGAAGAAATAACCTCAAAACTACACCTCAAAAGTCTACCCAGCAGCAGAAGACCTTTAAAGCATAAATGTTTCCCCTCTAGGAAGCACAGATAGTGATGTTAAAGTGTACCATGCTCAAAAACAGTAACCCTCTAGGCCCAAGTCCTGAACTCAACCAATTAAGCTACGTGGGATGTTAGTATAACACTGGAGTGCTGCCATCTCCCATAATGCGAGAGGAATACCTATTATTTTGCAAAAATGTCTCTCATCCAGAAATGATGGGGTATAAGTATATGATAGACAGTAACAGCTCTAAAAGGAAGTTTAGAAAGAACTTCTTTAAACACAGGATAATGAGAATGTGGAACTCATCGCTGGAAGCAGAAAGCATCATCATACCTAAGAGGATACCTATGATGCATACATGAGGGAGAAGGTAATAGAGGGGTATAAAGAGGGGTGGAGGCTCATGTGGTGTAGAAACACCAGCATGGTCTAGTTAGGCCAAATGCTCTGTTTCCATGTTGTTATGTTCTATGTAATTCTATGTAATTTTCAGTTGCCTCCAAGCATCAAAACCCAGCAGGTGGGAGAATGGTTTGAAGACCTCATTTTATTCAGTGTTTCAAACTGCTAGTTAAACTTACAATCTAAAGCCACTTTCCCAAGTCACACTTCAGCCTCTTTCAGACTTTTGGGATTTGCTATTAGGTTGTTTTACAAATCTCACAAATCCTTCACCGGATGCAGGGATAATGCAAAGAACTTTGTAAATTATACCCAGTGTATAGGTGTAACGTTTGATTTAATGAAACATTTATGGGAAACCACTTCATTCAGAGAAAACATAAAAGGGAGTTGTGGACTTAAACCCAGTCGGAACTGGGTCTAGTCTAGTTGAACTTGATTCTTTTAGGAACTGTTACCTGGATTTACTTGGGAGGTGCTCTGAATGCAATGGTGGAAGGGATGTTTTAGTAACATTCTGCGCTATGCAATCCCAAATTATTTAATTCCTTTGTTCCGTCTGACACCATTGATACATTTGGTTATTTGGTCTGGAGAACAACCGTAGGTTTAAAGTTTGGATTTTTGAGGTGAAATTTGGAGTACTTTGAGGTCTCCCACTCATGTCAAATGCAGCACAGATTCCGCCAACCTTCGAAGTATAGGAAGTGGTCGAGGTCTGGATGCTGGACTCATTTAAAAATGCAGCTCAATGTTATAATGGGAGCAAGGCAGAATGGGTCTTATGCAAGGATGAGATCAATTGCGCTGAAGGGCCTACTTCATCCAAACCAATCTTGTGATCTTCTGAGTACCTGTGGTGCATCACCATGAAGCTTTGCTTTTCCACATCAACCATCCTTAAGTACTTTATTTGAAAGTGTCTGACTGATCTGTGGCATTCAGTGCTGAATTATGGGCAGTCAATCTATGCCAAGAGAGGGACTTCCAGCACATCTGCCTGGACTGGCTTTGAAGACAAATTCCAGATGTGAATGGGCAGCTTTGTAGTGTATTTCACCACCTGGCCCATTAAAGCCAGTCCGGGGGGGAGGGAGGGAGGAGGGAGGATAGGGTAAAAAACACAAATTGAAAAAGTTTGTATAAGAGAAGTCACACACCTTTCTCCACCCCCCCACCCCTGAGCCATGTTTTTTTTTGGCTGTTTCCTGGAAGTACTGTGTCTGTCTGGCAAATAATTTACAGCCCTACGTGTGTTTTTTTTATATATATTCTGAAACCTTGTGCTGAATCACCCCGAAAACTTTGCACTCATTTTACTCCTGGCCGTGTGCAATTGACAGCCTCAGCCTGAACGCATAGCTTTGGGAGTCTGGAGGGAGATGTTTTGCCAAGAAGCTGTGAAATGGGCCAAGCAGCTGCATCATGGGGTTTGATAGCTTCAGGCTAGAGTGCCAGATATTTCAGGCTGATGTTTTCAGACGTGTGGCATGCCTAAAATCATCTCCAGGGGTCAGCTCCAAATCACTTAATATCCACGAGAATATGCGGGCAAAACAAAATGTTTATTCGCCCCCCCCTCCCCCAGCCGGGCTTTATCACACTGCCTTTCTGCCCGTCAGGTTTCCTGTACTTAAGCTGTCATGGCCCTTGTCTGAGTCAAAATAAAGTGCAGCTCTGCAATTGCTAATCCTCTTCGTGTGCTTTGACTTTGAAAGTTGGTTTGGAGTGCATCCCGGAGTTCTGTTTGCTGAGTTTTCCTCTCCCGTTTCACAGACGTGCCTGGCTAGCGGCTAGCAAGGAGCAGTTACCATAATATTGTTTCTCTTGTAAGAGTGCTCTGTCTCTCTTTCTGTCTCTCCCTCCTTTTTTTTTGTGCGCGAGTGAAATCGATGGATATCAGGCTGATCTGTTTGTTTTCCTTCCTCTCCGCGGCTCCTTTCGCGACAGTGGGGAACAACACTGGCCGCATCAAGGTGGTCTTCACGCCCACCATCTGCAAGGTAACCTGCACCAAGGGCAAGTGCCACAACAGCTGTGAGCAAGGCAACACCACAACCCTGATCAGTGAGAATGGCCACGCCGCAGACACTCTGACAGCACAGAACTTCCGTGTGGGTAAGTAACATTGACCAGGGCTGCAGCTCTACCAAACACTGTGCACTAGCCTGGGATACAGCCACAAACCATGCACTGGGCGACTGAGAAGAGACTTTAGGATCAAAGAGGAGGTGGTGGGGGGGGCAGGTCATTCCCCACTTATTTGCAATCCCTTTCTCTTTTTTTTAAACTTTTCGCTCAACCTCTACCAAACTTAACAAAAGTTACAAGCGAAAAGTGAGAAGGTTTTACTTTTTTTTTAAACTTCCAATGCAGGCAGTCTTTGTTAATTAAATTAAAATTAAAATCGAATGATTATCATTTGTTTCCCCCCTCCCCCACCCCCCCAAGCCAGGCTTTGGCTTCTTCAAGTTCGTTTTTTATTAAACCGTTGCCTCTGCCATCGGTGGTTTATTTTCCGCAGAGCTGGCCTCGTTTTGTTTTGGGACAAACGCTGCCGACTTCTTTTTATTTCCGTGAGCTAAAATGTGGAATTAAACAACAGTGGCAAGTTGCTGGTGCAGCTGGTTTGTGAATCTTAATTGTCTGAGACTCTTGAGAGGCTTTCTCAACCTGTGTAAGTGTAATTACCTCCAGAGCTGATTTATGGCAACACTCCCATCTGGCTCCAAAAGCGTTGTCTTTATCGATTGTTCCATTTAGTCCAACACTGGAGGCAGCATCAACAATCTGAATCGGTAGCTGGTTAAATCTCTCTTGCTCTCACTCCCCCCCACCCCCCCCCCCTTTCATTTATGTTGGTACCATTAACGTCTGCTCAATTGAATTGGTTCGGATGGCTTCTTGAGTCTTGAGAGCAAAACTCCAAGAGCAAAAATGAATCTCCTCTGAAAGGAGGAAGCACCGGAGGGATTAATCTAGCAAGGTTTTCACTACATCTACAGTGCGATTTCACCTTACATAGAGTAGCAACAAAACCTTTCTGAAATCGGCCTAAGTTGGAACCATCCCAGTCATCCACAATGTACATGTGCAATTTATAATGGGACAGCAACATGCTATCGCGAGCCTACTTACGCAAAGAATTTCTTTCATTTCTGATTATTCTCTTTGTTTTTTTTCTCGTTCGGCTACAAAATACAGTTGCTCCTTGTACTATTTTACTACAATACAGTAAATCCTGTGAAGCGCTTAGAGACGGCCTCCTGCCGTGAAAGGTGCTAATCTCAAAAGTAAGAATTATCATGAGATTATTGTTTTGATTGTTTATTATTTATGATAGTACAGGAGTAGACAGTGCTCACTGGCATGAATTGTCATCATTGCATATACAGTTCTGTACCCAGTGATCCACATTGTCCTTGTCAAATGCTTTGCCACTTGTTAGTGCACACTTCAGGATAGGGGCAATGTGTTAATAATGGTGGTCCTGAAGGCAGGGTGAGCAGCAGTGAATGAGGGTGACCCTGCAGGGTGTGTTGGCTCAGGATAACACTGTGCTGCTTATCCCTATAGTGTTGTCACTGTACAGACTGCGGGTGTATGGGAGATTGTGGCAATGTAGGCATTAAGGAAAGGGCAAGGTACTTGTCCAGTCTTAAGCAGAACATTGTTCTCTCTGACTTTGATAAATTTAAAACTTTATTTATCTATGCACCTACTCACCTACATACCTGCCCACCTACATATACGAATCCCTGCACGCATGCACCCTCACCAATGCTCTCCCAGTGTCCTGGGCTTCATTCCTCAAAATAAAATTGGTCATTCATTTTATGGGACACTGCTGTGTGCAAAATGGGCATCCGTGTCTCTCTACAAGATACAGTCACTAAACTTCACAGTCAGTCCGGTGAAGTGTTTTGATCCACAGAGAATCTTTTCAAGGGAAGAGAGTCTGTTGAGAAATGAATAAACAAACTAGTCTGAAAGAGAGAGAGAGACCCTGGAATGGCCTCCTGGACAAAACCTGGAGATAAATTGTTCATTACATTTGTTTTTTTATACATAAAACAAATCTATGTGCAGAGCATACTGGTAAAGAGTTCAAATGAGATCGTTTGGCTGAATTTTCTGTTTTTATAAAAGAGATTGTTGGCCTGTTAACATCTCTGATGTTTTCCACACTGGCAATGGGAACATGAGCAACAGCTGTTGCCAGATGTCCACTAGATGTATGCTTAATTTGTCATATCTGCTGGATAGTCACTACAAGACAGAAAAAGGACAGAAATAGTTGGAAATGAATTTATCACCAATGGTAACAAGTTTGAACGTGCGCAGAGCAATTTCCAGACCACAGTCTGTTCTATATATTTACTTTTTGGTAAAGGGTTACGCTCATTAAGGTGAGTAGATGTCAGTGCTGGGAAAAATAAATACTTTTCCATCACTTTTTCAAGCGCTCCCGGGTCATCCATCACACAGGCAAGAATGAAGCTCACTTCACTTTCCCAACAGGTATGCTTGCCTTCAAGATTAAGGATAAGGGGGAAGAGCTGGAAATAATACTGTAGCAGGTTATTAAATGTCTCAACCTTTATTGTCAGCCAACAAAATAAATGTTCTTGATTGAATATTTCTTGATTTATGCCAAACAAAACACACAGTCATTACACTTTACAATATATCCCGTGAAGCGCTTCAAGATGTACTATATGAGATGAAAGAATTATTATTATTAGTGTAGTATAGTGACTGGGTATTTGTAGGCAAACAAACGGGATTAATGAAGAAAGACTAAGAGAAAATGAGTAACAGTAACAAAGACAAGATGGCCTGAATGACCTCCATCTTTGCTGAAAATATCCATGTTATTTTCAGGGGGAAAACCATTCTCCATCACAGGTGCCTGGTCAGCTGTGTGAAGCACTTAGAAATGTCCTCCTCACATGAAAGGCACCATATTAATTGTATTGTATGATGTATTGATTACGGACAGTTTTATACTATGCATTCATGCCCACCAGAAGACACCTTGATTTATTTGGTGATGAGAAAGAATATAAAAGGATAAGGGGAAAGAGTAGGAAATTAGTTTTTGAGCAGTTAACTTCAGTGGATGAGGCAATACCAGTTTAGACTTGATGGGCTGAATGACCTCCTTCTGTGCTGTAATTTCTGCAATTTCCTATAAAAGCTGTTAGAGGTAAATGACTTCTGTCTCCCTATTGTAGACAAAGTTGTTTCCTCCCCTTCTCCCCCGGAGAGAACTATACCATCCAGTTCCCAAACAAAATGAATAGAATTTGAAGGAGTGTAAATTGGGAACATTTTATTTAATCTGTATATTGAATTACTTTTTGGGAACGTGGGATAAGGAAAAGAACCCTCTGGAAAATGTAACCAAAGAGACCAGTTTGCAATTGGATTACATTTCTAATTCCCCAGTCAGTAATATTACTTATCCCACGTGGGTGTGTGGTAATTCAATAAATACTATTATATCTGCTAATGTTCACAGAGGATGTGATCCCATCAATAGAAAATGATCCAGTGGGTCTCAGCCCACACGTGTGGTAAATTAATACCAATTTATCCACTGTGACCAGTTTCTGCATCTGGCCAGAGGTCCTAAAATAGCTTACAGATGTGGCCTCACAACTTGGGTAAGTGTGAAAATGGTCACTCGTGCTGCAAGACTGACTCAGTGCAGACCACAACCACAACTCTCGAGGGAGCTTTCATATTTAATATCTGTCAATTTGTGCAGAGATGATTCACAGATCAAAGCCACTTTGTTTGGAGATACAGGAGTGAAAATTCGGACATGCAATGTGATTGTCAACAACAACTTGCATATATGTACTGCCTTTTATGTATAATAATAATCATTGTGTTTGGTATAAAAGGATTATTATTATAAGCTCCTTCCATGTCAGGAGGATGTCTCAAAGTGCTTTGCAGGATTTACTGTTAAAGTGTAGTGACAGCATTTTAGAAGGGATCATCTACAAAATTAATGTCAAGAAGATCTTCAGAGAGGATCGTGGAGGAGAGAAATGAGAATTTAAAGTTGTTAATCAAAGACACAGTCAGAGAGATTTAGGGAAGAATTAGGTTAAAGGTGTATTTGAGAATTTGCCAAATTCTGGATGATCTGAAATGCTACAAAGAAATAGAGTAAATCTGGACACAAATGGGATTTCTCCCCATTAGTTATTTAGGAGAGTTTTGAAGACAGGGGGAGTAAGAGAAAGACAAAGAGAGTTTGGGACAGAGTAGGGCAGGAGCTTTATTCACTGACGACTCGACCAGCAATTGTGGGAGTGAGGGATGAGCAGAGAGCCCAGAGCTGGAAAAGTGGGGAGCACAGGTGTCAAAATACATCTTGAGGAGATAGTATAGGATTGGAAGGATGATATTGTGAAGAGAAGCTTTTTAAGTCAGTCTGTCGGCATACTGGTGGCTTGTGGAGCCTGGTGATAATAATATTAACCCTTGCGTTTGATATAGTGCTTTTCACGTCTTTTAGCCGTCTCAAAGCCCTACACAGAACATACTGTAAAGTGAATTGACCATATATTTGTGGGTAAAATGTTAATGGGTGCACAGCCTAGGTTGGGAAATGATAAGAGCTCCAGAGTTTTGGATGAGTCGGAGCTCAAGAATCCATCTAGGAGGGCCACCATAGAACTTGTAGGAGAAAGCCAGTCTGAGTATACGATGCTTCTGATTATCTGATACAATTTACATTTATTTAGTGCTTTCACATTGGGAGGATGTCCCAAACGCCTGGCAATTCTGGCTATGTACCCAAGCTGAGGGGTGGCAGATGAAGGGGGTGAGGAGGAGAAAGATGACCAAAAGGGTGGTCAAATGGTACGTTTTGAGATGAACCTTGAAAGAGCAGAAGGGGGGAGCAAGTTGGAAGGACCTGAGAATGGAGTTCCAGAGAGTGGGCGCCAAGTGGCTGAAAGCCCGCCCACTGATAGTGGGGTAGATAGAGTGGGGGATGTGGAGTAGGCCAGTGTCTGCCAAAGGAAGGGAGTGGCTGTGTTGGTATGGATGAAGGAGGTGATTACTAATATCCTAAAAATTCACCTCACATATTTCAC